ATCATGTAATATTTGTCCTTTTGTGACTGGGATATTTCACTCAGCATAATGTTCTCCAGAGTCAACCATTTTGAATAATATTGCATGAGTTCCAGTTTTTCCTCAGTCTTACCCCAACCCTGATGTCAGTCCCATTCTACAACAGTGGCACTATGCAGTGTTTATCCTTGTGTGACTGAGATATTTCACTCAGTATAATGTCCTCCATGGTCACCCATTTTGAGTAATTTTGAGTTCCTTGGTTTTCAGTGCAGCATAGTATTCCATTGTGTGAATATACCACAGCTTCTCTATCCAATTTGTTTGTTGATGGGCAATTATGTTGTTTCCAACTCCTTACTATTACAAACCTATTTTACAGCTGAGAGCTCCATGAAACACTATCCACATTGGGAGATCATTATGGTATTTGATAACCCTGTGGCACAATGTTCAGCGTCACAGCAAACCCAGACCACCTCAGTACAGCAAATTGACAAAGAGTAATGTACAGAGTCGAAGAATGTTCCTCCAAATATAACAACACTAGTCTCACTTAGCAGTGGTTAAGTGTCATCAAGTCGAATGCGACTCACTGCGACCCTACGAACAAAAGACCTGAGCTCTGTTCTCTAAGTAACATCATTTTTGTATGATTATAGAGTTTCCAGAGGCATGTGGTTTAGGACGTGTGTACCACTCCAGCTTCCAGGCCGGAATCAATCTGGAAGCTCCTCCAAACACTGTCCAGGACGGGTAACCATTATGGTATTTGACATGACTGTGGCACAGTGTTCAGCATCACAGCACCTCCAGGTTACTTAGTACAGTAAAGAGACAAACAACTGCTTACCACTTAAAGAATGTTCATCATAAAATTAATAAATAAAAGGGGCCAAAGGCCAACTGACACCCACTTGTGGAGGGAAAGAAACCAATATCACACACACAACCCAAAACTTTCCTTACGTGAACCCAATCAAGACACAAGAAACCAACTTCCAGAGTGGAGCCACTCGGGGGAAAGGGTAGAGGGCAGGAAAGAGACCAAGAGCTGCTGAGTGGATGCCCAGGACAGGGGCCCAGCCAAGCCCGACTTTGATACCATGAAGAAGATTAGAGAAGAAAAGGAGCATTTGAAATAATTGATTAACAAAGAATTTATAAGGGATAGGTCTTCCAGAGCATTCAAGAAATCTAAGCCAAAAATTAGCTCTGTCAGTTGGAATTGCTATTGGGTTGCTCTGTAGAGTATAAAGCCTACCTTGTAGAGACACACCAAAACTACCGCTTTCGTTTGACTTGGCAACCCTTTTACATTTTTATTATCTTAGGTTGGGGTTTTTTCCCCTTGTTATATACATTTCTTTAAAGAATCTTAATATAGTTTGATCAGACATTTATTATTCTGATGGCCATTCTATAGATGCGGGAAACAGGCGCTCAACAAGGAGGTGGGACTTGTCTGAAGCCATATAATTAGTAGGGCCAGGCTGGGATGGTGTGCCCTGCCTTGATCCTGGGTTCTCTCTCTCAACGTCTACTGCTGTACTCAGTTATGTCACTGGCGCATGAGAGGCAGAACTCAAGACAGATGGTTCCTGGCTGACAGCATAATTGACTTACGACATACCACAAATACAATTATGTGTTCTTTTGATTTTATTTATATGTCTTATTCTTAGTAATGTGTACTACATGCAGTGCAACACCACATGTAATTTGCTGATGTTATCATTCTCGGGTATTTACTTACAGATTCATCAATATCTTGATAATAAAAAGCAATAATCATAGAAAGGGAAAAAGCTACTCAGTTATGTCATATTGAGTAGTTCAAATAGAACACACAGATTGCCTGTACAGTACCACAAAAAGCTGTCACAGCTCAGCTTAAACCAGGAGACGAACACAGTGGCTGCCACAGGGAGACCAGTTAGTTTTGTGTGTCGTATCTTCAGGAGCAGCAAGCCCCTTGGGGGTTGCAGAGTCCTGGGTGGAGAAAGGAAGAGCCTCAGTTGGGGGAGGATGTTGCAGTACTATAGCAGTACCCCCCAGAAACACTTCTGGGCCTGAAGAACTACAGAAGGTTTTCAGTGCCCTGCTTAACTTGGTTTTGTGCTCCTTGCCGTAGAACTGATCTTTTAATTCCAGAATAACACTGACCAATGCAGATCATAAATATAAGCTCCTTCCATCAATTTTTTTTTATTATTCATTATATGTGTACCATCAAATCGGATCTGACTAGTACAGGAGATTGTCCCTCCTTTTCCAGCAGAGTATCTGGTGGATTCAAACCCCGTATCTCTGGGATTGCAGTGCAGCCTCTTACCACTAGGCCACCAGAGCTCCCTTCCTTCCATCAATTTAAATGTCTAACTAGCCACAGTAACAAAAGTAAAAAGAAACAAGTGAAATTTTGATACCAGAATATATCCAGATTATCTAAAAATTATTTCCACATGTAATATACTTAAATTATGAGTAACTATTTTTATGTTAATGGAGTATTTTACATTCATTTTTTTCACATTAACACTTCTAAATCCAGTGTCCGTTTTAGGTTTTAAACCCATCTTCGTTCAAATTAGCCACATTTCAAGTGTTCAGGAAGCCATGCAAACCTGGTAACTAATCCTGGGGCCTCCTGTGGTCTCGTTTGTGCCTGCCATGTTGGAGACCTGGATTCGTATTCTAGCTCTTGGACCTCACATGCAGCCACCACTTACCTGTCGTTGGAGGCTGTGTGTTGCGATGCTGAACAAGTTTCCAAGAATCTTCAAATCTAAGAAAGACCAGGGAATCTATTTCTAAAAATCGGCCAGTGAACACCCTGGCTTTTCCTTGGATCACAAAAGAAATTTAAATTCTTGTGGAATCCAGACTTTCATGAGCCATAGAGTCTGGGTGAACCCCCCCAATCTTGGCAGCAGAATCCTCTGAAGTCTTTGGACTATACAAAGTCAGACCCAACTGCAGTTAGTTACAACTCCTGTGGACCTTCCAGTGGGTTTCTTAGGCCGAAACTCACAGTGGGCGGAGACTGCTCTTCTTTCACTCATGGAACAAAAGGTGGATTAGAACTGACAGAGATGTGTAGCTTTTGGGTTGGCACCCCACTCACTAAGATCCATGCCACTAGAGCTCCGTTTAGCTTAACTGATAAATAATACCTGTCCTGAGCAGCATGCTGCTTTAAGAGCTCTCTCTGTGGGATCAGATTGACAGTGGTAGCTTGAAAGTTTAGACTGGAAATTTTAGAATGAGTTCATGTTACTATGGAAGGAACAGTTGAGAATGGTTGTGTATCTTGAAGACTATACAATATCACTGAGTGTTATACACATCGAAGTTAATGAATTGGTGTGCAATTTGTATATTCTTCACATTAAGAAACCACGCAGAGCCTCCTGGTTCAGACCATTGTGAAGCTTGCAGGGCAGCAGGGAGGGCTGTGCTGGCCCTTCACATCCCGTTTGGTTTTGTTGTGCATGAGGTCTCCATGAGTTGTGGCCCATGACAGCACAACATTTTGTCTACATTTCCTCTATTCAGGATCATGTGCTGTGATCCCTTTAGAGTGGTTGGCGGTTAGAGCTGAGCACCATCTAGTTCCTGGGGTCTCAGGATTGTGGAAGTTGTGTTTCATGTGACCCATTAGTCCTTGGACTAATTGTTTCTATCTATTTTTGTCTTCCCTCTTTGTTCCAGATAGGGAGACCAAGAGTTAGGTCTTCACAGAGAGTTGCAAATATTTGGAGTGTTGTTGTGTTTGGTTTTTTTTTTTAAAGTTACTAATTCTCTCAGAAGTACTAGTAGGATTATGATTATGTAAAAGACTACTTAGTTTCCAAATTAGAATATATTAATTTAAATATGTAAAGTTCTCAGTTCTTGTAATTTTTTTGGCATACATTGAGTTCAATTGAATAACTTAATTTAGCATGTTCCTAATTTTTCTAATGTTGATGTTACTGTTTCTTATAACTCAGTGAGATATGAGGCAAAATAATACTCTTGGAAGAATGTTTAATAGAAAATTTGAATAGCTCTTCTTGATTAAAAAGAGAATGAGTGAGGGAAAATGTACTTATTCCTAGGAATGAGTGCTTGAATAATTAGGGGTGAAGTGTTACAGTGTCACAATTTACATTAAAATATTCTAGGAGTTTAGATAGATAGTTTATGAGAGATTTTACATGTTGTAAAATGTTAACAATCATAGCACTAGGTGAATACTATACCAGTGTATATTTGAAACTTTACTGTGTTTAGAATTGTTCAAAATATTAAATATTTTTATTTCCTGGGGAGGGAGAAACATTAAAATGGATCCAGAGAGTCACTGAGCCAGTAAGTATTGGTTGACATTTAACTGTTTCAGGAGGTGGCATATGATCAAGAACCTTTGGTTCTGAAAGAAGAAATTCAAGCTGCATTTGATTCAAGACATAGCTGAAAAACAAAACTTGAGGACTTGACAGAGTAACAGTTGACATGCATTAGGAAATGAATTGTCACACCAGGCTCATTCCTCTTGTGCCAAGAGATTTGGGAGACAGCTTGGCCAACTGACTAGAAAAGATCTATACATGTGTCTGTTTCAAAAGAAAGGTGATCTAACAGCATTCAGAAATTTTAAAACAGTATGTTTAATATCATATGCAAGATCTTGCTTAAAAGAATTCAAAAACAGTCCCAGTATTTCATTGACAATGAACTGTCAGAACATTTATCCTGGGTTTAGACTATGGAATGAAGGCTGTCATGAGTAACTTCAGATGGATCTTGACAAAACAGAATACTGGAACTGGACCGTTCAAAGATTCAGCATTGTAGATCATCATATGGAGAACATTACCAGGAGTGGTGATTCCAGAAGGATTCATTTTGCTCATGCGGGACCTATATAAAAGGCAAGAGGCATTTGAACTGACTGAGGGGATAGTGCATAATTTAAAATCAGGAATGTTACATGCCAACATTGTTTCCTTTCGTCATACTTAATCAGTCTTTATTCTGAGCAAATAATCCGAGATTCTGGACAATATGAAGAAGATAGCTGGTTTAAATGCTGGCTCCTGTAATTTATCAAACATGAGAGATTCTTTAAGTGACTTCATCTCTGTGTCTCCATTTTAAATCATTTAGCCTTCTAGGTTCCTCATCTGTCAAGTGCAGTGATGATAGAACCTTTCTTTGTTACAAAGATCAAATAAAGGACTGAGAGCAGTAGCTGGCACAGAGTGAGCATTAATACTAGAAGTAGTACCTGTGGTGGGAGTAATTGTCTTAAAACAGATTTAAAAGCACGTGCATCTTTTTTTAAGGTTTTTAGAATGAAGTTGGGGGACATGTATAGCAGTGAGCATAGGACCTGATACATACCAAGTGTGCAGGACCTGGTAGCAGTGTGTCATAACCCATACTGGCTCCATTTGTTGCAGATGGTAAAAGGCTTTTCTAATCGGGCCAGGAAAGCTCGTCTGGCTGAGCCCCAGCTGCAGGACCATAATGACCTGGCCCTGTTTGGTCACTGGCAGACAGAGGAGTACCAGCCCCCAGTGGCTGTGGATGGGAAGGTAAGGGCAGCACTCGGCAGGGCTACAACATGCTTTCTTTAGCTTCTGGCCTGCTCAGTCCTGGTGTGTCCTCCTCCACAGGTGCCCCGGAACGAGTTTGGAAATGTTTACCTCTTCCTCCCCAGCATGATGCCCATCGGCTGTGTCCAGCTCAACTTACCCAACTTACAGCGAGTGGCACGCAAGCTAAATATTGACTGCGTGCAGGCCGTCACTGGCTTCGACTTCCACGGAGGCTATTCCCACCCTGTGTTAGTAAGGGACCACTCACGGAGAGGAACGGGAGGTAGAGGAGGCTACAGAGCTGAGGTGGGGAGTTGACACAGGCCAGTAGGAGTTGGGGCCCAGGGACTTTTCAGGGTTTTGGATGGGACTTTCTGTCAGCCATGATACTTTAGCAAAGCCATTGAAGCCAGGATGCTGACCAAAGCAGGGCTGCTGTCCTCACACAGGTCCTGCCTGACTTGGTCTCTGTTCACCCATGAGGTAGGGTGGGGAATCTGGGGGGAAGGCGGTCACTCCACTTTCTGTAGGCCTTCCTCCTGCACAGCTGGTGTCTTGGTAGTTACTGGTCAGCATTGTGAGATAGCTGACTGAAGTCCTTCAGGCTCAGCCAGAGTGTTCAAGAGCACCCACCATGTCCTATAGATGGAGGCAGGCCAGAGCAATGGGACAAGCATGGGGAAGGTCACGCCTGTGTCTTGTCTGCACAGAACTGATGGCTACATCATCTGTGAGGAATACAAAGATGTGCTCCTGGACGCATGGGAAAAGGAGCAGACACTCATCGAAAAGAAGGAGAAAGAGGTGAGTAACCTGGCAGGGTGCAGCCTAAGGGGCCCTGGGATCAGTACACGACTGCCAGTCTCTTCCCCTCTAAGGCCTGACCTGAGCCCGGGGTACAAAGGGAGGAGAGTAGATGAAGGTGAAAGAGAGTCAGCTTCCTCTTCGTGAAGATAGACCCAGTGACCACAATGTATAAAACAATATGGAATGAGGCCCTCTGTCTGCCTAGCTCTGGAGCCACTGCCATTGTTACCAAAATCTAGGTCTTGAAAGAATTACCTGTAGTTAAGATTCTCCTGACATTTCAGAGTCAATTAAAGAAGGGACCCTAGTAGCACAAATGTCCTTGGTTGCCAATCAGAAGCTCTGGTTCAAATCATCTAGGGGCTACACAGAAGAAAGACCTGGTGATCTCCTCCTATAAAGATTTAGCCCCAAAAGCCCCACTAGCTGTTCTGCTTTGATAGATCAGTCCGTGAGAAATCAACTCACTGACACCCAGCAATAAAGCAACACTAGCCACAGTGGGCTGGTACTGGAATCCTCCCTTGCCGTAAATGAAACCGGGGTGTGATTCACAGCCAGTGCACCGCATGCCCAGCCACCACCCACCTGTCTGGTTTGTGAGTTGCTTTGTTAGGGAACAGATTTCAGTGCAGCTTCCAGACAAAGACACTAAGGAAGAAAACTGGCAGTCTGCTTGCAAAAATCACCCTGGATTTCCAGGGACATTAAATGGAGGGGTAAAAAAGAATAAGTTAGAGGAAGGGAAAGGCAAAATGCAATAAGCAGTTGATCAGGCATTATAATTAATTCCATTAATCAGTTATAATTATTAAACAAATATATATTAATGAAAAGCCAATATGATTCGTAATCTTGCACTCAAGTTAAAAAATGTTTAAAACCTAATCATGAGAATGAACTGGGCAGTATTTTGTTTGGTTGTTCATAGGATTTTCATGAATTGGCCGTCAGCTTAGTGGCAACAAAGAAAATTAAGGAGAAATTTTTGGTTTTGGCAGTACTGTTAAATATCACTTTGTAAATGAGACTAGTTTTTTATTTATTTCTTCCAGTACTTTATTTAAAAATTTTTTTATTACACTGGTTTACCTGCAGAGTTCTTATACACTGTCCTTCAAACCAGATCCTCCCCATCTCTTCAGACCACCCACTAACTCATAAAACCATGTGACCCCATGATTATTCTCTCCAGTCCATCCTCACTCCTCTGTTCCCTCTTCCCCCTTAGACCTTCATACACATTTTACTAGTTATCTTTCCATTTCTACAATAATGGTCTTATACAGTATTTGTCCTTATGGGACTGAGTTCACTTAGCATAATGTTCTTCAGTCCCTCCCAAGTTACGCAGTACTACTGCATGCTGCATAGTATTCCATCATGTGAATATATCATAACCCCTCAATCCATTTGATTTTGCTTGGACATTTGGGCTGTTGCCATGTTTGGTTTGGTTTGGTTTGGTTTGGTTGGTTGGTTGGTTGGTTGGTTGGTTGGTTTGTTTGTTTGTTTCCATGTTCTTGCAATCGTGAATAACACTGCTATGAACATTTATGTACAAGTTGTAAATGAGACTAGTTTTGTGGGATTTTTTTTAAAATGAAAATTAGCTTGACTTAGAAAGTTACTTTTTAGCCTTAAATTATATGCATATTAAAAAAATTTAAAAGAAAGAAAAGAAAAAAAATACATATATATTCACCAGTTCCAGCAAGGTGTTTCTTTATCTTGAAATTATCAGTGCTTGTTTATTATTTTCAGTGCTCCCACATTATTTTTTGTTGTTCCTCAGAAAAAGGAGAAACGGGCTCTAGGAAACTGGAAGCTGCTGACCAAAGGATTGCTTATCAGAGAGAAGCTGAAGCTTCGCTATGGCTCCAAGGTTAGTATGAGCCTCTGTATAAAGAAAGTAAGTCTGAGTCACTTTCCTGGGCCTCCAGCTCAGGAACCACTGCTCAGATCCCGGATAACGTAACATGTCAACCCCACAGTCTTCATGCTTCCAGGGAAAGGCAGCCCTTCCTGAAGTGTACCCTCGTCCAGTGCCCAGCCCTACCCATGTCTGCACTAGTGCCTGTTGGGGTCTGGACTATGGCTAACCATGGGGTTGGGGGAAGCATCCTGCCTTGACTATTTGTTCAAGTTCCCAGGGCCTCCTGCTGACCTGGCCCCCACATTCAGCAATGCCAGTGTGCCATGACTATTTGCACAAGACTAGCTTTGTGACCTAGCAAGTGGTCTGTCCGGAAGCACATGTGCCCAGGGGCAGAATATATTTTGTGCTGTTTTTAGGTAGAGTGTTTTCTATATATGAAGTCTAGATTTTTTTTTTTTAATTTTTTATTTATTTATTTTATGTGTGTACCGTCAAATTGGATCTGACTGGTACAGGAGGCGATTGTTCCTCCTCCTTCAGCAGAGCATCTGGTGGATGAAGTCTAGATTTTTATAGTATCATTCAAGTCTTCTCTTTTTTTTGATCTTCTATTAATAGATACACTGTCCAAAGTTGAAGTGGTGTATTAAAGTCTCAACTATTATATAGCACCATCTATTTCTCCCTTCAAGTCTATCTTACTATATTTAGGTACTCAAAGTTTGGTGCATGTGTATTATTGCTAAATCTTCTTTTTGTTCCTTTAGTCACCATGTAATGTCCAGTTTTGTCTCTACAGTTTGTCTTAAAGTCTCCTTTGTCATGTTAAGATAGCCACTCTAGCCTTCTTTTGGTTATTTATTTGTATGAAAAAATATTTTATATGTTGTTGTTATGTGCCGTCGAGTCGCCTGCGACTCATGGCGACCCTATGTACAACAGCCCTAAACTCCGCTCTGTCCTGTGCCAATCGCACTGTCTCTGACACTCCCATCCCAATTATCCCAGTCACTGAATCAATCCACCTCACAGAGGGCCTTCCTCTCCTGCGCCGTCCCTCCACCCTCCCAAGCATGATGTCCCTCTCTAAGGACCAGTCTCTCCTCACATGTCCAAAGTAAGTTAGACGGAGCCTCAGAATCCTTGCCTCCAAGGAGCCACCCGGTTTAACCCTCTCCAGGACAAAGCTATTTGTTTTCCTAGCAGTCCATATATAAATATTATCCTTTCACTTCCAATTAGTCTGTGTCCTTACACTTAGGATATGTCTATTGCAAACAACATATAGTTGGATCATGGTGGTTTTTTGGGGTTTTTTTTTATATCCATTGTTTCATTCTGCCTTTTGATGGAAGCATTAAGAATTTACATTCACTGTAATTATCTTTTGTTTTTGTTATGTGCCATCAAGTCGCCTGAGACTCATAGCAAACTTACGTCCCACAGCCCTGAAGCCTGCCCTGCCCTGAGCCAGTCTCACTACTCCGACACACCTACCCCCATTGCCCCAGTCACTCTCATCTGGGGTCTCCCTCTCCTGTGCTGTCTCTTTACCCTTAGAATATATTTGTTTTCACTGTAATGGAAGCAAGCTCTACCTTTTTTTCTTCCTTTTGATGTTTTCTTTTAAGTTTTCTTGGTCTTAGTGTTTAACTGCTTCTGTTTTGTTAAGTTTATTGTAGTGAAGATTTTTGGCTCCATTTTCCTTTCCTTTCCTTTTTTGAAAAGATATTTTCTTAGTGGTTGCCATGAGTATTCCATTTAACAGCTTTTATTTGTAACACCCGAGAGTAAATCTGTACCCACTTCACTTCAGTAACACCCTGCGGAAGACAGAGCCAGGTGAGCAGGAGTGAGTCTGGGAATCGTGATGGGCAGAGCCCGGAAGGCATCGCTCTTCCCTCCGGGGCCCGTGGACCCTCAGAACCAGCGTGCTTGGGCTTGCTGCCGAGACGCTAGAGCACCCCGAGCTGTACTGTCTGTGGGCAGGTCTCTCCATTTCCCTTCACTGACACGTGTGCACCTTTCCCTTCCCCTGCCTCCCATTACTGCAGAGTGAGGTGGCAGCTCCCCACACAGGTGCAGGAGGCGGGCTTTCTTCTGATGAAGAGGAGGGCACCAGCTCCCAAGCAGAAGCAGCCAAGATTTTGGCTGCCTCCTGGCCCCAGAACCGAGAAGCTGAAGACCAGAAGCAGAAGGGCCCTAAAAAAACCAAGAGGGAAAAGAAAGCAGCAGATTCCCATCTGTTCCCGTTTGAGAAGCTGTAATGCTGCTGTTGCCTTGTCATCTGCTCCACTGCTGCATACTCCAGCTGACCATCGGGGGAGCCCAGGCCCTTAGAGCAACAGCTTTTCTGCTGAGAAGTGAGCAGAAGCAGTGTGAACGGCAGGCACGGGCCAGAGCCAGGGGGCCGCACTGACGTTATCCTGCAGAATGGTCTAGCCCCATCATTTACTAATTCACCCAGCAAATGCCTTTCAAAGCTTTTGATCTGTGAGAAACATCCCCAGGAGACACTCTCCTGCCACCTTTGCCAGATTCACCCATCATGGGTCAGCTTTTTCATAGACACCCCTGCAGACTTTTTAGATGATGGTATGTTAAGGAGCTCACTGAGCCTTTCTTCTGTCTTCCTCCTGACAAACACTGCTCTTGCAGACTCTCTCCGAAGGCCACTTCTTTCCCCCCCCTCAGGGTTACTAACACTGCCTACTGCAGCTGCTTGTCATGGGGGAGCATACAAAGATGTGTAGATCATCTCAGCTGTGCTTTTGGTGAAGTGCTGGAATTAAGAGCTAACAAAACAGGAAGAAAAGGAAAAAACAATGTAAGGAAATGTTAGTAAAAGTTTACTAAATTTTGTTCATTACTTAATAAACTTATAAAGCAATATATATCCTAAACACTCTCAGAAACAACTTTGCTATTTCAAGAAAAAAATTATACATTTATCTAAAAAGTTGGATTTGTGTTTTCTTTCAGCGTTTTTCTGTTAAGAACACCCAGATGACATAACAGTTTATATGCATGTTGAGACTACATTGAAAATCAGATAAGGATTTCTTCAAGCTCATCATTACACATGGTAGATTTTTTTTTTACTTAAACCAGGAGATACTAATCTTTGATATGAGCTTAGTCATTAAAAATTTCAGTAAGTTTTTATCAAGGGAACCAAACTAAAGTGCATGAGGTATGACTCATGTAGCAAGACCTTGGCTGGAGTGCTCTTGTTGAAAAAACACTCAGGTGTTGCTATGGAAACTGCACTCATATTTCCTGTTCTAATACCCTACATAAGCTCACTGTGTGTGAGAGAGAGAGAGGAGTCAAAGGTATTATCCTGTTTCTGGAGAAATAACTTGTTACTCTGGCAGATGTTGGCTACTAGGAGGCATCCTAGAAAAGAAATAAAACATCAAGTGTTGAGAACAGTCTCACTTGTTTGAAGTACTCCCAACAATTACTCATTGCTCACTTAGATGAACAAGGAGGGCTTTATCTGAGGTACAAGGGTATTTCCCCCGTTTAGATGAGGAAATCAGGCTCTGCATTCACTGACTCATCCCGTTCCTCAGTCAGTGGCCGACTTGGGACTTGGACCTGGATCTGTGTGTTGCTACCCACAGCCCATAATGCCCTTTGCACAGTTTCATGCTGCCGCCCCATCCACCTCTGCAAGCACATTCAGAAGATGGGTGAAGGGTGAGTCATTTACTTTGAACCAAGCCAAAGCAGAGTAGGCATTGGTATGTAAGTCGTCTAGATATTAGGAAGAGTGAGTTGCCTTTTTTTTTAAATTTTTTTTATTTCAGTGAACATCTACAGAGATTTTGGAATTCCATTCATTCATTGTTGCACTTTTCTAAAAATGTTGAGACGCTTTGGACCCTAAAAACAACTTATAACTGGAGTGTAAGAATTCAGTTAAGTTCTGACTAAATTCTAGAAATTTCCGAAAGAATGCAACTTAATGGCAAGTTTCCATACGAAAAGACATAAATTTTAATTTTTATCAAAAATACAAAGTTAATACAAATTTCATGGGAGTTCTTTCCCCCCAAAGGCTTCAAACTTAACATTCATTTGTTTTTTTGAAAAAAAATTTTAATTGAAATTCAACCTATTTTCCAGACAGTGATACAAACCAAATCTCAAGGACTTTGTATTTAGCTAGCATCTAGTTATAGTACCTTTTTTTTTGAAAGGCATCCATTAATAGACTTAAGTGACATTCCTCCTTTAATACAGTTGTGAAGAATACTACCCTTAAGAATACAGCCCTTAAACTTGGATTCCATGTCATCTATGGGGCTGGCTATTTGTCTTTAACAGAAAAGAAAAATCTGAAGCAACAGATTACCCGCAGGACAGCAGAGACCCTTCAGTCACCAATTTACACAAGTTCTGAACCTTCTCAACTAATGAATATTTATCTGCTAAAGCTCTGGGCAAAGGTAAAGCAATTTCTGAATGTAAGAAAAAGAATGCACAAAGAACCCTTTAAGACAAAATTACCACATTCTTTAAGAGGGTTTTCGAGGACTTGGGAAACTTAGAAATTGTGTAAATTAAGCATGCTTAGGTTTTATTTGGGAAGGTACAGTCAAGACATCACAACCTTCCCCCGACCTCTGAGGCCTAGATGTCAGTATGCGCTCGGTGATGAAGGCCCAGGCCAGGCAGTGGTGCTGGGAGAGCCAGCCTGTTGCAGCTGAGGCTTGGTTGTGATTGACTATGCAGGAGCCCATTCCTTGTGAAGCTCTGAACCATGACTTAAGGACAAAACTATCTTCAAATAATAAACAGGCAATTTCTCACCCCAGAGGATGAAGGAAAATACCTTTCTCAGTCCTGTAGAGATGCTCTTTCTCATCCCAGGTGAAAATAAAGCCTTGTTCATACTTTTTTTTAAAGTAATACTTGTATTGGGAAACTTTATAAAGCTTCCCAGTAACTGAGAACACTGACAGAATTTTTTCTTTGTACCAAGTAAGCCATACCCCAATTGAACACTTTACTTATGCTTTGAATTAACTTCAGCTGGCAGGGTATTTATTTCTGTAACAGTCTGAAATAATAACCATTCAGGAGGTTTGGAGTTTTGTGAGGTTTTTTATAAAACCTTATTTTAAAACAATTCCCTCTTGGTGTAGGAAAGTACACAAGAAAAGATTACTAATCATAGCAAACAAAAGCTTATAAACAGGACTTTTGAGCCCTGGTGATGTAGCAGGTGAGGTGTTGGGCTGCTGAACCAACCTTAGCAGTTAAGACGTACCATATGGCCGTGCCATAAGAGGGAGAGGGGATATATCCCCACCCTCAGAAACCCAGGAATGTCACCATCACAGCCAGCTCGATGGCCGTGGACCCCAAGTGGCCAAGCTGTATGGTAAAAGCCCATTTCCCCCCCACTATCACATCTTCCATGTTTTGTCCTTTTTTGAAGTATCCAATTAAGTTCTACCCAGACACTTGGGTTGTGGTTCTGATGGGCACAAGCCTTTTCCTTTGGCAATCTAGTGCTACCTAGCAATATAACTAAGGGTGATGTGACCCTCTAGGATCCTGGGGACATTTGATGGCCGTGGCAGAGTCCTGGTACTTCTCTTCAATGGTGGGAACCAGCAGGTACTGAGGTTGAGCCCTTTAATCAGCAGCTTTCTGTAGAGTGCCACTGCATCGTCACTTGTTTTTGTTTTTTGTTTTTTTTTGCATCATCACTTGTGCACAGATTAGCTGAGTCACACATAACAGGCCACAAAAGAAGCAAAGGGGGGAAACGGGACAGTGCTTGTTAGGTTGCCTTCTGCCCATCAAAGCGGCGAATCCACAAGAGGAGGAGGGAGGAGGAGCTTAGCTGATGAACACCAGATCCCAGCTTGTGCATGCTGCCAAGAGAGGCCCCCTCGAGAACGTGCAATCAAAGACCAATCCCAAGTCACACTGGGTCAGCACAGGAGGTGGCGGCTTGGGTCAGGCAGGTGCCAGGGCCTCCTTCACTCGAGCTTTTTGGCTGGCGCCCGTGTCCGAGCAATGATGATGGGCACCAGTGCCAGGCAGCCAATGAAGAGGGCCCACAGGGGCCGGTAGAAGAACCATCCAGCGGCGACGGTCAGCAAGGTCAGGGAGGTGGCCACGCAGAAGGCAAAGGCTTTCAGGCCAATGTTGACCAACTCTCGGAGGCCAGGAAGCCAGTCCACTGTAGGGAAGGAAAAGTTGTGAGCCAGGGCGGGCACAGGCTGTCCCACCTGGTCCCTGTGAATAGGAGAGGAGGGACAGAGCAGTGGACACCAGAACCCACACATTGAGTGCCAGATGGTCAGAGGAGACCTCCCACCAAGGTCTGTGGCTGGGCATAGGCTAAGCTGCTCACCCCTCAGTTCCTAGAGAAAGGGTACACAGAAGGGATGTGCAATCGTGGGACTATACTGAGATCAGCCTGAGGCCACCACACAGGCATTCACCCGAGCATTCATAAATGGTCCATCCTGCATTTTCACAAAGGAGCGTGTGGTGAAGCCTTCTCAGGAGGCCTATTTAAACTGTTGACCTTCCAGTTCTGTCAAGGTTGCACCACAGGAGCAGATGTCCAGCAGAGCGATCTCCAGCCAGGTCCTAGAAGGCCCCAGGGCTCTGGTTCCGCGGGATTTGCGCAACACCCCAAGACGCCCCTGCAGACCACCTCTGGGCATCATTTTGGTCATTTCATACATGAATAGCACTCCTTCTGAGCCCTTACCATAAAACAAGTTCATGTTCCTGAGGGCTGGCTATGTGTCAGGCACTGTGAGTGTTACCTCAACAAGACCGAAGGTCCACCCTGCTAGTTAAGTGATGAATGTAACTATTTTACCTACAAGGTCACTGAGGCTCAGGGAGTTTAACCTGTGCAGTTCGTACAGTCAGAAAGTGACAGAACCAAGATCTAAACCTGACTGCCTAGCTGCACAGCCCAAGCTCTCAGCCATCACTCAGTAATGTAAGCTGAGGAGACAGGGTCCTGGCTGGCCTGCTGGCTCACTACTCTGTCCCCAGGATCTAAAGCACTGTTGCACACAGCAGGTCCTCAGTGTCAGCTGAAGAAATAAATGAGTGGACGCACGGGTTGTGCTGTGTTGCAGTTTATCTGATCTTTCCATGACACTATGGATGTCCCCCGAGTTCTAGATCGTTCCTGAGTGGAGTGCCAACATTCCAGGTGTGGGGAGGGTCCATGGACCACAGAGGAAGACTGAAAGAAGAGTCCATTGAGCGAGATCTGAAGCCCTTGGCCGTGAGGCAACTGGGCCCCAAGGAGAACAGCCTGCCCACCATCAGTCACACAGCCCAGATGGCTTAGTTCAAAGAAGGACAGACAGGTCTGGTTTCAATCCCCATCTCTCCTTCTTAGTGTCATAGATGAGGTCAGTCTTTCTGAGTAGTTTAACTGTCCAGAACAAGCCTCCCTGGTCCTCATATTCTGACCTATCACAAGGGAGGCAACCCTCAGCTCCAAGGCTGGGCTTTGCTGCAGCCACATTGCTGCCAACCTGTAGGCGGCAGGAGAGGAGAGGTTTCTGTTGAACTTAGAGAAGGCTGGCCAACTCTTCTGACTAGATGGGCACACACATACTGGGGTAAAGGCTTGGTTAGAAAGTCCCCTTAGAGGATCCACTCTCCCAGATAACGCTCAGCCCAGCACTTAGGGCTCCGGACCTTGGCCAGGACAGGACATCTGAGCTGTACTGGGCTCTCTGGCCAAGTAAGCTGCTAGGCAAACTCCCTGAGCTCCAGACTTGCAGGCTGCCCCAAATCTGGCACATTTTTGGGTGGAGAAGGAAGCAACAGTTTTTGAGTATTTCCTATTTCCTAACCATTTCACAAAACACTGCAAGTTAGGTGTAAAGTAACTGAAGGAGAGATGCGAAAGGAGCAGTCAAGTACCCAGAACAAATGCAGGTCCACTCGCTCAAAGGCTGGCCGCCTTCCTCCCTGTGGCTGACTGATTACTTGTGGGATGAACAAATGAAGGGATGAGCAGTGAGTCAGTGAAAAGGGTAGTCAGACCCTCAGATAATGAAAGCTACAATGCCTCCCGTGATCCTGGCTTCCACCCACCCTCGCCCCACATAAGCACTCCACCTTGGCCTTCATGCTGCGATCTGCTCATTCATCCTAACACTATGGCATAGGGGGCACCTACCAGCCAGAGAAGCTGGCGCCATGGTGTGGTAAGCAGAAACACTTGGGGCTACCAGAGAAAGGGGCCCTTCACCCCCAGCCCCATCTCTATACCTACCCAGGGTGTAGAGGATCCGGGTCATGAGGTTGAGGCCCATAAACATGGCCATCCAGCCAGCGGCCCGGAACCCCCATGTCTTCATGGCATTGCTCTTTTGTTCTCTCTGAAAGACCTCCTGCAGGACAATGGGGAGATGGGGTGCTCATTAATCAGAGGAGGCCACTACCCACTGACAGAGGGGAATACTGTGGGGGGGGCTATGCCAACCAGAAGCCATGGGCTGTGTATGAACAAATAGAGGGAAACAAAGGCCTACCCCAGGTCAAGCCTCCATACAGTGGACACAGTTCAGGGCAAGGCACACGAGATGTTCGTAGAAGGTATGAGCCTTCTTGGTGGGTAGTGGAAGGAACTGCGCTGCTGACGCAAATGTATGCAGTTCAAATCCATCAGCTGCTCCGTGGGAGAAAGACGGACAGTCTCCTCCCATGTGTCCTGCCTCTGACAACCTGTTAGAGGTTCGGCTACGGGTCGGCTCTAACTCGATGGTTCTAACTCCAACTTGACCATCCACAACAACAGGGAGACCCCACTTCCTTCAAACACCGCAGCCCACTGTCTCATCTGTAAGGAATGACAGCATTCCTGCACTGGTGCCTCCGTGAGGCCGTTTCAGAGCCTCCTGTGGATCTGGTGGGGTTTAAGTGCATGCGCGGCAGGCCCTGTGCAGCAGGCTATGCCTGTGCGATCGGATGTGCTTTAGAGCATGGTCCTGGGACCCTTCCCGTGTTTGCCTCCTGCTGCCCAGGCTGCTGCTCCTTTTCAGTGCCTGCTGCCATTCCTTCTCTTTTGTTCTGGCCTCTAAAACACTGAGATTCTTTAGCTACTTTCTTTTCCCTTCTCCGTCTGCACCCTGGCCCCCAGGTAACCCCATCCAGTTGCTCTTAAGCAAAGCTGCAGGAAGTCAAGCCTTCTTCTTCTTCAGGGTCTCGCCCTTGGCTGGCTCCCACTGTTGATCGGATGCCTCCCCTTGATGTGCTGGCACTTCAACACTGACAGGCATCCCTCCACTCCAACCTGTTTCTCTTTCCTATCCCAGCATACGGCCCAGTATATGGCACATGTGTTCACTGGACTTGCTCCCCACTCGCTACCTCCCATCCAGTCCATCAGGCCTGCCAACTCTACAGCCGTATTTCCTCAAATCTCTGCTGTCTCCCCCTAAGCGAAGCCAACACCATCTCTCATGCCCCTCACCAGGACTGCAGCAGGAGCCTCTTCCTCATGGCTTCCCTGTTCCCACCCATAGCATCCTGCCAGGGCCCTGCCATCCGACTCCAAGGTTGCATGCTAACCCCACTGTCTGCCTGGCCTGCACCATGGCAGGTGTCTTCATGCCTCTGGGTCTTTCCCTCCTCCCTCTGCCTAGAGCTCGTTTGCACACAGTTGTGGTAGGCCAGGTCCAACATTCTTCTCACTTCTCCTTAAACGTCAGCTCTTCAGAGTATTCCTGATATGCTGATCTCAGTCAGGCACCCATGTCCTAATCTAGAACAATAGCAAGAGTAATGCTTCACTTTTATCACTTACTATTTGTATCAGGCACTGTTTGCATTTTAGAAGCATTCTGTAATCCTCAACTAGGAAACTCTAGGGGCCTAATGGGTAAGGAGCTACGCTGACAACACAAAGGCACATGGTTCAAATCCACTAGCTGTTCCTTGGGAGGAAAGATGGGCAATCTCCTCCCGTACAATTTACAGCTTCTGAACACCCACTGGAGGGTCAGTAGGATTAGTTCTGACTTGATGGCACATAACAATCCTCAACATAACTGGATGGTGTAGACACACTTATCCCCGTTTTACAGATGACAAAACGCAAGTTGTGAGAGGGTAAAGAACCTGCCAGGGCTCACACCAAGTGCTTACTTCCAGGTTCCCAAGGGCAGGAACCAGGCCTGTGCCCTTCCTCACTAACTCCCTGCAATACGAGAAAAGCTTATTCCTTAGCCTCTCAGCCACCAAGTAAGTTAAGGATGCTAACAGTAATGGTAACAAGCGAGTATGAACATCCACTTTACACACAAGGAGGCAGGTTTGAGGGATAAAGTACACCCGAGAATGCACAGTCAGGGCCTGAATGAGGCCTGTTTCTAATATCCATGCTCAGAACCACTGCACTCTCCTCATTCCTGGCACTGCAGTCCAGTCATCCTGACATGCAGGGTCTGCGGATTCCTCTCAGTGCCCGGGCTGCCTCTTCAGCTCACGTTCTCTCTGTCTAGCAGAGACCTCAGACTCTAATGGGGAATGCATGTCGGGAGGCTATGAGGAGATGAGAACAGAGCACTAATAAGCAAAGGCCAGGTGGGCACAGCCAGTCCTGCCCAGGGGAGGCATCTAAGCCAGGAGCCCGCCCATGCTCTCTGATAGGGCAGCCCTGAGACCTCGGCCTCCCTCCCCTGCAGCAGGGCGGAAGCCCTGGGCTAAGCAAGGGCCTTGGGAGAGAGCAAGGTCTGAACAGGGCCACCTAATTTTAGAAACCACCCAGGGGGCCCTCAGAGCTGGATGGAATGAGTGACTCATGATGTGCCAGGTTGGGAGGTGGCAACCCCACCCTGTGGCTGGTGACGGGGCTCCTGGGCAGGTCCTGACCCAGTCTCACCATGGCTCTAAGCTAAAGCAGGAAGGGCGACAGCAGAGGCCCTAAGAGAAAGACAAAGGGGGCACAGCTAATCCCAGCCAGCTGCCCGCTGCTCTCACCATTTGTAGCCCTCCTGATGAAAACACCATATGGTTTATTTTCAGGCCAGAACAGAATGCCCCACCAATGATAACACTGCTCATCGGCAACGTAAAAACTCTATTTTTCTCTTAAGGAAGATATTCTGCCTGATGAAGAAGGGTTAACTTTGCAGGCAGTATTGAACTGATCACTGTATCTTCATACCCCTTCTCCAAGGGGCTCTGGTGGCCTAGTGGTAAAGAGCTGTGATATCAATCCAACACAGATTTACTGCCTTCAAAAAACCCACTGCAGGGTCAGCTGAGTCACTTCCAACTCAACAGTACATAACAACAACAGGGCTAACCACCATGGAGCTAGCTGAGGCATGACCCCTCCCATTTGACAGGCAGTGGAAAGAAGGCCCAAGGAGCTCTATGGACAGGTATTGGAAGGGTGCTCCTTCCTGGGCACCTGAGCTCTAAACCCTCCCTCCTTCTTGGGGCTCTGGAAGAAGCACACACTTGCCAGTGTGCCTCTGCCCACCATGCCAACCTCACCCCTCACCCCCACTCCCTGATAATATCCAGTCCTCCCTGCCTTGGCTGGGCCCTTACCTAAACTACTGGCTGACTCTGCCAGGATTGCAAAAGCTTATCAGTTAAGTCTCAGCAAAAATGTCATTCATCAGAGGCCGCCTTCAGCCACTGTCCAATTTCTGCCCATTAACCTGAGCTCCGCCCGCCCCTCATCACACTCGGCACAGCCTGCCTTCCTCACTACCTTTTCCACTAACACGTCCACACGGCTGAAGATTGTGGCACAGGGTCCACTCAGCCCTCCATTCGCTGTGCCCTGTAGTCTGGAGCACAGCAGGAGAGGATTATTCCGGCCCTATCATCATGCCTACTGCACTGGCTATGCCCTCAAGCAGGAGGAAGGAACCTGTGAGAGGGAAGGAAGGAGAGAGGGAGGGACAGCAGGGCAGCAGCAGCTCACCTCAGCTGAGAAGTCCCCATGGTGCAGCAGCAGCAAGGTATCACCAGATTTGGTGGAATATGGGACCAGCTGGTCACCCCGCTGACGAGCAATCACTGTGACCTGGTTGAAGAAATCAGTGTCAGCTGAGGGGCTCAGTGTCTCAACACGAGACTCCCTCCCACACCTCTCAGCCCACCTGGCCCCAGGAATTCCTCCAGGGGCTGTGCTAAGGAAGGAAGTGACGAGAACCCATTATAACCCCGCCCTGGGCTTCTCTCTCCACATGTCCACCCAGAGGCACACCAAGCCCCACAAATCTGCTAACCTACTTCATCCAAAGTCCCAGGGAGGACCACACACAAATCAGGAGCTTGGGGAGGTGCCACGACGCTAAAAAGCAAGCTTTTATAGATTAAACCTAAGGGGCTAGATGTGTTTGGAAGATCTCTCACAGGTATGGTAATGAACTAGAGCTTCTGGGGCTTTCAGGTTTCCAATCACACAAATGTCTGCAATGGCTGAAAAGTGTGCATGACTGAGCGTGTGCACGTGTAGCACAAGGAACCCATATCCAGTGGAAGGTCACAACGCCCTGACTCGGAGTCTGCCCCTTAGAAGCCAGCTTACCACGTGAGCAGGGCCCAGGTTTGGGTCATCCCCACTCAGTCCTGCGTAGAAAAATGAGACACGCAGGTCTCCCACCTGAGGAGGAAAAGAAGTGAGATGAACGGATCAGAAGGCACCGTCTTCAGCCAATAATGACGTACACACCCGCAGGCACCTCACACCTCTTCAACCCTTTTTGCCCTGGCTGTTCCTTCCCCTGGAACTCCGCTCTCTCCTCCAACAGGTCAACTGTGGAATCACCTGAGCCTAATCAGTCCATACAGGAACCCCATGTGTCATTCATTCGCCATTCATGGATGGTGCTCAAGCCCCTAATCCCCACGCCTAATCCCCAGGCCTGTCCATGTACCTCTGGGTACTTGGGGTTCTCGCTATGGTAGAAGTAGTCTCCCCGGCGGATAATGTCCACGTGAGGGTCCTCCAGCTTGGACAGGCTTAGTGGCTTAAAGTTGTCGACTTTGTCAATGAGGCCTGAGAGCAGGTGGTTGATTAGGAGGCAAGGCTGCCTCAGGTGCACTCTGCACCCTCAGCCTACCAGCTCTCATCCTTCCCACCTCCCCACCCCACCTCATACCCCTGCCAGAGACTGACCTGCCGAGAGAAAAAACCTGCCAATCTGGACGAAGGGGGCTGTAGCCGTGAACGACTCCACCGCCATGGCGCTGTGGGACAGAAGATACTGTCAAGGAGGTGGGCATCAGGGCAGGAGCTGTTTGGGTCCCCTTGAGGTGCACTGGACAGAGTCCCTCTCGGGGAACGCAAGCAAGTCCAGCCCAGCCTGGAGAGCCCCATCTCCCCTCCCTGGATGAGCACGCCCCTTCTGTCTCCTCTAGAATTTCAAATCCTCTCACCCGTCTTTCCCACCACTCACCAGCAATCAGGTGGGCCTTGTAGGGGACCTCACACCTGTCTGCCTCCTCCCAGGCTTGACACATCTAACCCTGCCGCACCCCTCCCTGCCCCAGCCCTGCTGGTCACTGCCTGCAGCCCACACTCCCGCTGTGCCCAGCACTTCACCACCTCCATACCTAGTCCCTCCTTCCAGGTAACCTCACTCTGCTGAAATCCTCAGAGCCCACATCCAAGGCCACTGCCTGCTCCAAGCCCTTCCTGGTGGTCCTGCTACTCTCCTAGCCCCTGGTTTGTTAACAAGATGCTTCCAGAGCACAGCACATGCAAACCCCTGTAAGCACGTTTCCATGCCTTGACAAATGCCTCCTATAAAGGGAGCTGGTTTGGGGTCTGGGAGTCAGGGCTCCACATTCTCATCCGCTCACAAGGTGGAAGGAACCTTGTTATTCGCATGAGGACAGACTAGCGGGCTGCCCGGGGGCAGGCAGAATGGCTCTTGGGCTGCGGGCCCAGCTCTCACCTGGGGTTTTTGTGGCCAATCTCTCGGTCAAAGTTTTTGCTGCTGACCACTTCAGACCTCCATTCAGTGTCTGCACAGGGAGGAGAAACAGGCCAATCGTGTTAAGGACAGTCTGCATCTGAAGATCACTGACCCTGAGTCCTCTCCTGCTAGCCCACAATCATTCAGGGAACCAAAGGGACACCCAGTCACCAAGGACTGATGCCCATTGATTTCCTACAGGACTTCCCACAGCTCTCCCTCTGCAGTCAGCCTCCCTCAGGTCAAGGACTCCATGCTCTGTGATATCAAGGCACTTCCGGGGGTGGGGGGCTGGGCCCAGGACTCACTGTAAGAGTATTTCGTCTCCGTCTTCACCTGCCCGTCCTCCGTGTACTCTCTGCAGGGAAAGCACAGGCAGCCTGAGTCTCATCACTTCTGAGCATTCCAATTCCTACAGCTTCAGCTGGAAGCAACCTCCACTGTGAGGTCCGATCCCACAGTGAGGCAGAGCCATGGCTGCCCCGTCTTGGGTCTGGGTGCTCATGTTCCGCAGAACCAGCTTCAGTCCCTGAGGACTTGGACTGGAGAGAACTACGTCCACACTCAAAGCTTAAAGCTGCCTGCAGTGGATTCTCCCCAGGACCCAAGCCTTGCCTCCTAGGCCAGAGATCCACAGGCCTCTGGATCCCAGGACAGCCTGACCAACTGCCTCCAAAGTGGTCATGCTCCAGACACCTTCTCACCCATCCGCTGTGCCCAGCTGGCTCCAGGTGACCCCAGCCTGGCCATGAGAGCCTGCACCAGGACTTCAGGACTAACAAGACTGAAACCTGAAGGCACCCTCTGGTCCTAGGTGGGAGAGAGGGTGAAACCAACAGAGCACACAGCTGGGCAGTGGCACTGGAGAAGGTAAGGCAGGCATGCTGACCTAATTACACTGCTTGGGGCCTGGAACGAGTCAGCCTAAGCCAGTGCATCCCCTGACTACCAAGATAAGGCAGTGAGTCGACCTCCTTTCTTCTTGAAGCTACTTTGCGCTGAATTCCCACCACCTCCATACAGAAAAACAGCTAATAATTCTGAAAAAAATGTGACACTTTTTATGACACAGAGATTTGCTGCTTGACACTTCAGAAACATCAAAACGGAGGCCCCTGCGCTCACCCTGGCCTCTCCGCCTCCTTCACTTCCACCGGCGGCTCACCTGGACTCTTCGGCCTCCACCCACTGGTACATCTCCACGTGGCGCCGCAGCTTCACAGCTGGAATGTGCACCCCATAGTTGGGATCAGACAAGAGCTTAAAAAAAATCAAACAAAGCACAGAATGAAGACCAAGACTTACGGCAAGCTGAGGAACTGGACCTCAGACCAAAAAAGAAACAGGTCACAAGCAGCAAGGGCAGGGTAATTAGGAGAATCCAGTCAAACAGCCTACCCAATGTTCTTAAAACTCAATGCCCACTCCAGGAATCTCACAGTCCAAGGACGATGGCAGGGCACCAACTACAATGTCCTAGTGCCAGAGAACTTGTGGAGGACTGGATTAAACACTCACGGAGAATAATCCTCATTACAGCACCTAGTCAAGACCCAAACATGCACCAAGCACTGAAGGTCATCTACTTATATGACTGAATCTTTAAAACTGGCAGGCTACCATTAGTCCTGGTTAAAATTATTGTCCCCCTTCTACAGGTGAAGAGTTGAGACAGAGGGATGTCTGAACCATAGCTGTGAATTGTGGAGCTGGGAGTCGCTGCTTGCAAATGCTCAACCAGACAATCCCCGGTGATACGGCAAAGCCACCAGCAAACCACAACCATCGCCAAACCAACCTTGGACGTCCGCAAGGCCCCGATGATGTGCACCAGTCTCCCCTCGTTCTCCGGAGCCACACTGTGGATGCTGTCTGGGGAGACCACGAGAGAGAGCCCCTCAGCCAGGGAGGTTGCTGTCTTCAGTGCGCGACCCTGTGGGCAAAACACAGTGGCGGTCACCAAGTCAGGTGAGGCTGCCAGTAGACTATCACAGCATGACAGCCCTTGGGGAACACTCAGACTCAGCTCTCCATGTCAGGAAATCCCAATAATGACAGTATGCTGGTTGGGAACAGCTGGCATTTCTCTCTACCCTGACTCCTTCCTCAATTTCCTTTGCCTTCTCTGCCTCCCTCCTACTCTCAGTTCATGTGGTTCTCAGTGGTTTTACACAGGGTATTCTAAACCACCATTTAAATTCTTCCTAGGCCTAGTTCCTCAGAACACGCATTCTCCTGGCCAAAGGACTGGCTCAGAGGCACAGAGACTTAAGCCAAGACACTTGACCAGTCTCCCTGCAACTCTGGCTCAATTGATCCAGAAGGTGATACTTCCTCTTCTCTCTGAAATTCCTAAGCCTGTTGACCCTGGAGTTGCTGGGGTTACCTGTGCCACCATGAAGGATGAGCCTCCCCAAGAACAATGGCATCATACAGGAAAACTGCTAAGAGATGGAGAAATGGAGATTCCAGGTGACCCAGCACGAGCACCTGGATCCAAGTAGGCCTGAAGCTGGTCCTACCCTTAGGATTTCCAGGCGTGTTAACGGATCTGCTCCCTTTCCTGCTTACATCAGTTTTGAGGTGGGCCACAAGAAAAAGAATTCTGACTCAGTTCAGCAGCCCCCTTTCTTGTAAAAAAATCTAAGTCCTCGGTTATCCAATCTAGTCTCAGGATTTAGAACCTCAGCAACCTGACATTGAGGAGACCCTTTGAACAGAGGCGCCCTGGGCATTTTACCTCATTTGTGAAAATGATGTAGAAGGAGAGCAGGAAGGTCATGAGCCCCACGAACATCCCTCCTGAGGTCTCGCTCAGCCGCTCCAGGAAGCTTGGCTGGGCAGTGCCCGTCGTTTTGATGTGTTCTCGTCTGTTACTTTGAGTAAAGTACTAAGGGGAAAACAATTTAAAAAAAAAACAAACAATTTTTTAAAATCAGAGAGGCTTTCAAAATACATAAGTAAATTTTCTATTAATTGATTTAGAGTTAGTTCTTTCTCATAGAATTTTAAGATGCTAAAAATACAGATATTAAGTGCATAGTTTGATAGGTTTTGACCAAACTATACTCTCTACATAGTCAGTTCAAGATATAGAACAGTTCTATCTCCCACAAAGTTCCTTTGTGCCCTTTCCCCTCAAAAAGCTGGTCTCCTCATCCCTGGAGGGAACAACTTTTCTGATTTCTGTCACTGAAGATTAGTGCAGCCTCTGCTAGAATTTTGCATAAGCAGAATTATATAGCATCAACTCCTTTCTGTCTGGCTTCTCTCATTCAGCATGCTTCTTCACCTTATCCATGTTGAGAAACCAATGTCTGTTCCTTTTCGTGTCAGCATAATATTCTACTAAAGGAGCTCTGGTGGCCAAGTGGTAAGAAAAATGTGCTGCAATCCCAAAGGCACGTGGTTTGAATCCACCAGCTGCTCTGCGGAAGAAGGATGCACAATATCCTCCTGTGCAATTAAACTGCCTCTGAAAACCTGCTGGAAGGTCAGCTATGACAACACCACAGCAAACAACAATATTCTACTGTGGGGGTATGCTACAATTTGCTTATTCAGTCACCTATTAATGAATATTTGTGGCTATTATGAGTAAAGTATGGGCTTGTGTTTCCATTTCTCTCTCTCTCTCTCTCTCTCTCTCTCTCTCTCACACACACACACACATTTATAGGAGGGAAGGGAGCTTGGAAGGACTAGGGGTAAAAAGCTGTGCTACAGTCCCAAAGGTAGGCAGTTCAAATCTGCCAGCTGCTCCACGGGAAAAGAATGAGCAATTTCCTTCCATGTGATTTACTGCTTTGAAAAACACACTGCAGGGTCTGCTATGAGCCATTTCTGACTTGACAGTACACAATGACAACAGCACTGGAGATACATATACATGAGATTGGCCATCTTTCCCCCTCAAAGCAGCTGGTGGATTTGAACTGCCTGCTTTTGCGTTGGCAGCTAACTCCTTACCCACTAGGCCAGCAGAGCTCCCTGCACATACAAATATACGAGTAAAATTGCTGAGTCTAATTTTTAAAGAAATGGTCTTTTCAGTCACTTGCTAAGCATCTGAGAGCTGGACAGTGAATAAGGATGACAGAAAAGGAACTGAGACTTCTGAGCTGTGGTACTGGAGAAGAGCATTAAACATCCCATGGGCTGTCAAAAGAACAAACAAATATGTCTTGGGGAAAGTACAGCCTTGGGAACAAGAATGACAGAGGTTCATCTCACATACTTCAGGAATGTTGTTGCTAGGAGAGGCTATTTCTTGGAGAAACGTCATTCTTGGAAAGGTGGAAAAATCAGTGAAAGAGGAAGATCCTCAACCAGATGGACTGACAGAGTGACTACTGACAGAGTGACTGCAGTGGGCTAATTGAGATTGTGAGGGACAGGACAGGACAGGGTTCAGATCTATAATTCAGAGGATCGCTTGGACTCATACTCAATTCAACGGCACCTAGCAGCTTGCTTTACAAAAAGATTACTCAAGATGATTTTTAATTAAATCCAACAAATAATGACTCAGCTGAGGGTCATGAATGCTGGGTGTCTCGGGAGAGAAGAAGGGGGAGTAACTTACAGGGCAGTCACATCACAGCCACAAACAATACTACTATTATTATTCTCGTTGTTGTGCTGATGTGTTGGAACCAATTCAAAGTAGACCCTCCAGCAGGTTTTCAGAGGGTAAAAAATCACACAGAAGAATGCCCATCTTTCTTCACACAGCAGCTGGTGGATTCAAACCTCATGCCTCAATTCCTTACCACTAGCCATGAGAGCTACCTAGTTATATTGAGCATCAATATAACTAGGTGGACCTCGTGCTAAAGAAGTGACCCCTTCCAGCTGGGAGATCAAGGCATTCTCCCTACGAAGCCACACTTAAGGGGGGTTTTAGAGGCAGACACTGGGGAAGGGTATCCCTAACTGGGAAACTGTGTACAAATGGTTCTGTGGGAACAGGCTGCTGTCTGCTGTAGCTAAGGCTTCTGGGGAGTCTAAGAGATGCAAGCACTTAGGCATGTCTGGGCCTTTGTCCAGACACCATGCCTCCACCACCAAGGCCTGTTCTGCTTATGGCAATTATACCTGTGTTCCTTCCATTTCCTAATCTGTAGAATGGGGATAGTGATCGATGCACTGGGTTCTTGCGAGGGCCCAAGGACCAAATTAGGCACCTCAGTGCTTAGTGCAGGATGCGTTCTGTACGGATGCTGGCTTTTGGGAGTCTTAGCAGTTTTCTCTGTGGTTGATACTAAGGTTGACACTATGGCATGAATTGACAAGCCACCAATGGTCAAACGGTTCCCAGATAAGCATCAGAGTGAGCCAGGCCCCATCTTGCACTAGAATAGGGAGGGAGCTGTGGGGATATTCAGGACAGAGTTTCAGCTTGAACAAAGTAGATGCTATGTTCTCCTGATTGTCCTTGAACGCTACCAGCACAGGCCAACTAGGAACCTGACATCTGTTGTATCTTAAAATGGTCTTGACTTTGCATGCCATATGGGATATTTAGTGGTGCCATTCACCAAAGCAATGAATATATGGTAAATATCCCAGTTTTTCACTGGCCCAACATGGACAGGCTTAAGGAGGTGGTGCCATTACTTTGTCACCTGCCCAGATCTCACAGTCAAAACATGATGGGCTGATTTAGGAGTCAAATCCTCACAAACTGGAGAGCACACACCTACCACTCTGCTCCATATTTCTTAGGCTGTAATGTGACTTGGACCCAGTAGTAGGTTGTTGTTGTTGTTATTGTTTGTTGTTATGTGCCATTGAGTCGCTTGTGATTCATAGCGACCCTATGTACAACAGCTCTAAACTCTGCTCTGTCCTGTGCCAATCTCATTGTCTCTGACACATTCATCTCGATAGCCCCAGTCACTGAATCAATCCACCTCCCAGAGGACCTTCTCCTCCCGCGCCTGCCCTCCACCCTCCCAAGCATGATGTCCTTCTCCAAGGACCGGTCTCTCCTTACAACATGACCAAAGCATGTCAGACGAAGCCTCAGAATCCTTGCCTCCAAGGAGCAGCCCGGTTTAACCCTCTCCAGGAGTAGGTAGTGGAAGGGAAATGAAAGAGGGCAGCACCAGCCTTGGCCCCTTTCTGCATACCTCCAGAAGCCAACATAAAGATGAGAGACTCAAAATAGACTTTGAAGAAAGGAAGAGAAGCACAAGTTGGAGGTCACCAACATACCCACCCAGCTCACATTCCAAACTGAAATTCCCATTAAGTATGAAGGCATATTTCTTGAAAATTACTTTATTCCCAGGTTAGCTTGGTAACCTTAGAAACAGACACAACTGAGTTCAAATTTCAGCTTGGCTAATCATTTGCTATGTGACCCTGAGCAAGTTGTTCCATTACTCTAATTCTGTTGTTGTTATGTGCCGTCAAGTCGTTTGCGACCCTATGTACAACAGCCTAAACCCTGCTCTATCCTGTGCCAATCACATTGCCTCTGCCTCTGACCCTGTGTACAAAAGCCCAAAACCCTGCTCTATCCTGTGCCAACCTTATTGTCTCTAACACACCTCCTCCCATGGCCCCAGTGACTGAATGAATCTATCTCATCGAGGGTCTTCCTCTCCTGTGCTGTCCTTCCACCCTCCCAAGCATGAAGTCCCTTTCCAGGGACCAGTCCCTCCTTGCAGCATGTCCAAAGTATGTCAGACAAAGCTTCAGAATCCTTCCCTCCAAGGAGCATCCTGGTTACACCTTCTCCTGGGCGAACCTGTTTTTTCTCTTAGCAGTCCATGGTATATTTAACACTCTTCTTCAGCACCACAGTTCAAAGGCATAAATTCTCTTTCTATCATCCCTAGTCATTGTCCAGCTCTCTGATGCATAGCAACAATTGTGAAGAATATGACCTGGATCAGGCGCACCTTAGTCTCCAATCTGACATCATTGCTCTTCACTACTCTGGAGAGGTGCCTGACAGCCAACGTTCCCAATGCAATCCATCTTGATTTCCTGGCTGCTGGTACCAAAAGTGTTGATTATAGAGCCAAGCAAACTAAAACTGTTAACTATCTCAATCTTGTCACCATCCAAAATGATGTTGCCAATTGGCTCAGAGGTGAGAATCTTTGTTTTCTTGATGTCGAGCTTCAATCCATATTGAAGGCTGCAGTCTTTGATCTTCTGCAGCAAGCACTTAAAGTCCTCCTCAGTTTTATCAAGCAGGGTTGTGTCATCTGCATAATGCAGGCTGTTGATGAATCTTCCTCCAATCCTGATGCCACATTCCTCCTCATACAATCCAGCCTCCTGGATGATCTGCTCTGCATATAGATTGAAAAGGTCTGGAGACAGAATGCATCCCTGGCGTACACTCTTCCCAATTTTGAACCATGCAGTGTCTCCTTGCTCTGTTCTGATGACTGCCTCCTGGTTCAAATATAGGTTTCGCATAAGCACAATCAAATGTTCTGGGATTCCCATTCTTCTCAGAGTCAGCCACATCTTGTTGTGATCCACACAGTCAAATGCCTTTGCATAGTCAATGAAACGCAGACAGACATTCCTCTGGTACTCTCTGCTTTCAGCCAAAATTCATCTAACATTAGCTATAATATCCCTAGTACCACAGCCTCTTCTAAACCCAGCCTGCACATCTGGCAGTTCTCTGTTGACATGCTGCTTCAGTTGTTTTCAGATAATTTTCAGCAGAATCTTGCTTTCATGTGATATTAATGATGTTGTTCCACACTCTGTCAGGTCACCTTTTTTGGAATGGAAACAAATCTAGATCTCTTACAGTCAGTTGGCCAGTTGTTTGTCCTCCAGATTTCTTGACACAACTTGGCGAGCACATCCAGGGCAGCATATGTTTGTTGAAATATG